CATCAATGTTCATAAGAGAGATAGGTCTGAAGTTCTCTTTTTTTGGGGGGGGTCTTTGTGTAGTTTAGGTATCAAGGTGCCTGTGGCCTCATAAAATGAGTTTGGTAATGTTCCTTTTGTTTCTATTTTGTGGAACAGTGTGAAGAGAATTGGAGTTACTTCTTATTTGAAGATCTGGTAGAATTCTGCATTGAAACCATCGACCTTGGGCTATTTTTGGTAGAGAGACATTTGATGACTTCTTCTATTTCCTTGGGGGATATAAGACTATTTGATCTACTTACCTGATCTTGATTTTGGTAAATGGAATCTATCAAGAAAATTGTCCATTTCATTTAGATTTTCAAATTTTGTGGCATATAGGCTTTTGTAGTAAGACCTAATGATTGTTTGGATTTCCTCAGTATCTGTCATTTTGTCACCCTTTTCATTTTTGATTTTTTTGATTTGAATAGTTTCTATCTGCCTTTTATTTTGTTTGGCTAAGGGTTTGTCTATCTTATTGATTTTCTCAAAGAATATGCTCTTAGTCTCAATGATTCTTTGAACTGCTTTCTTTATTTCTAATTCATTGATTTCAGCTCTGAGTGTGATTATTTCTAATTATATACTCCTCTTGGGTGTGTCTGCTTCTTTTTTTCCTAGGGCTTTTACATGTGCCATTAAATTGATTGTATGAGATGCCTCAAACTTCTTTCTGGAGACACTTAGTGCTATGAGCTTTCCTATTTGCAGTGCTTTCATTGTGTCCCATAAACTTGGGTAAGTTGTGCCTTCACTTTCATTGAATTTTAGGTTGCCTCTAATTTCTGATTTTATTTCTTCCCTGACCAAGCTGTCATTGAGTAGAGGGTTGTTTAGTTTCCATGTGTATGTTGGCTTTTTGTTATTTTTGTTGTTATTGAGGTCTAGTTTTAGGCCATGGTAGCCTGATATGAAACAAGGGATTATTTCAATCTTTTTTTTTTATCTGTTGAGGTTTGCTTTGTGCCCAACTATATGGTCAGTTTTTGAGAAGGTTCCATGAGGTGTTGAAAAGAAGGTATACTCTTTTGACTTTTGTTGAAAAGTTTTGTAGACATCTCTTAGGTCCATTTGATTTAAGACTTCTGTAAGTGTCATTATTTCCCTATTTAGTTTCTGTCTAGATGATCTGTCCCTTGGGGAGAATGCAATGTTGAAGTCTCCCACTTTTAAGGTGTTGGGATCAATGCGTGATTTAAGCTTTAATATTTTTTCATTTACAAATGCAGGTGCTCTTCTATTTGGGGCACAGATGTTCAGGATTGTGATGTCCTCCTGTTGGATTTTTCCTTTGATCAGAAGAAGTGTCATTTCTCATCTTTTTTGATTAATTTTGGTTGAAAGTATTAGATAATAAGATGGCTACTCCAGCTTTTTTCTGGATTCATTTGCTTGAAAAGCCTTTTCCAGCCCTTTATTCTGAGGTAGCATTTATCTTTGTTGCAGAGATGTGTTTCTTGGATGCAGCAGAATGTTGGATTCTGTTTCCACAACCATCCTGTTAGTCTGTGTCTTTTTATTGGAGAGTTGAGTCCGTTGATATTGATAGAGAATAGTGACAAGAATGTTAGTTCCTTTTATTGTGGAGTTGGTGGTGTTACTGTGTTACTATGCTTGTTTTCTTTTAATTTTTTGTTGTGGACCTATTTACATTCTATGTTCTTTTGCATGTAGTTGACTTCGTTAGATTGGAGTTTTCCTTCTAGTATCTTCTGTAGGGCTAGGCTTTTGTGTAGTTACTGTTTAAGTTTAGTTTTTCATGGAATATTTTGCTTTCTCCATCTATGTTGATTGAAAGCTTTGCTGAGTATAGTAGTCTGCTTTGGCATCTGTGGTCTCTTAGAGTTTACATGACATCTACCCAGTCCCTTTCTGGCTTTCGTAGTTTCTTTTGAGAAGTCTGGTGTGATTTTGATAGGTCTACCTTTACATGATACTTGGCCTTTTTCCTTCCTGCTTTTAATATTTTTTCTTTGTTCTGTAGATTTAGTGTTTTGACTGTTATGTGACTTGAGTTTCTTTTCTGGTCTAGTCTATTTGGTGTTCTGTAGGTCTCTTGAATGTTTATGGAAATCTCTTTCTTTAAGTTGGGAAATTTTTCTTGAAAACATTTTCTGGACCTTGGAGCCTGGAATCTTCTTTTTCATCTATTCCTATTATTCTTAGGTTTTGTCTTTTCATGGTGTTCTTGATTCTTGGATGTTTTGTGTTTGAACATTTTTCAAGTTTAGTTTTTCTTTGAGAGATGTATCAATTTCTGCAATTGTATCATCAGTGCCTGAGATCTCTTGTATTCTGTTGTTGATGCTTACCTTGTAGTTACTGATCTTTTCTTCAGGTTCTCCAGTTCCAGCGTTTTCTCTGTTTATGTTTTCTTTATTGATTCTAATTCTGTTTTCATATCTTGCACCATTTCTCTCATGTGTTTGAATGTGGATTCCTGTCTTTCCATGATGTACTCTATACGTCTCTGCTGTGTCTCTACTTGTTTGACTGTATTTGCCTGTTTTTCTTTGAGAGCTTTGTTTGTTTTCTCTTTACGTGCCTCTAGTAACTAGACAAGCATAGATTTGAGATCATTTTCCTGTGTTTCTGATGAATTAAAATATCTATTAATTTTGGGGGTTGCTAGGGAAGCCATAATATCTTGATTTTTGTTGGATGTGTTCTTACACCGACCTCTAGCCATCTGCTTATCAGTAACCTTCTCTGTTTGTTCCTGGAATACTTTAGACTGGGTCCATCTGTCTCTGGTTTCTGCAGTATTCTTCAGGAAGGTGAGAGAGGACCAAGGGCTTGAGAGTGGATGTTGGTGTTTCAGCTGTAGCTAAGGGAGAAAGGTCATAGGCGCATGTGCTCAAACACAGGAGTGTTTGTGTAAGTGTGCCTTGAAGGACAGAGGGCTAGAGTATGTAGATGCCCGGAAGGGTGGAGCGTTAGTGCAGGTAGGGGTGCTGGCACTGTTAGCAGATGCAATATGCATGCACAGGTGCCCTGAATGCCTCAATGCCTGTTGTCCTGTCCTCCAGGTATTCAGATCTGTCTGGGTTACACTCTCCAGGAATTGTTTGCCTGGATTCCACTGGGAGTCCCGCAGAACAGAGCCTTCAATGTTGAGAACACTGTCCTAAGAATCCCTATGTTGCCCACAGTGGGGGTGTGGGTGGGAGGGGTCTGATGTCTGGCTGCTCGTGTAGAGAGACCCTAGATCTGGGGCTCTGCATACACTCATTGCAGGCACACTCACTTGCTTTCAGGCCTAATTGGAAAAGCACAGGGGAAGCCCTGTTCTTTTCTCTCAGATTTGAGCCTGCAGAGCAAATGAGAGTGTAAGAGATCGGTTAGCTCATTAGTGTCCACTGTTTGTCCTCCGGGCAAGGAGACCCATACTTGGGGCAGCCACCTCTGCTGTTGAGACATGGAGCTAGGAGGAATCCTGCTTGGAGCAGCTGCCACCTACCACAGCCACAGACCTGCTAGGCCCATGTTTGGAAGAAGGGGAAGAGTAGGGGGACTGAATATTCATCACTCTCAGGCCTTGGAGACATCCACAGGTGACCTGGAACCAAACTGGCCCAGCTCACGGGTTGTCCCCTGTTGCCCAGGAAGCTTCAATGTCAATGTTCTGGCTTCAACTGCCCCCCCCCCCACACACACTCACCAATTTTGGAGTTTCAGATCCTGTGCTCCTCAGATAAGGTGTACACTGTTCGCTGCTGTCTTGGATTCCCCTAGTATCTTCCTTATGAGGCTGTTGAAACAATAAAAATAAAGTACTGCTTATATAGTGCCTAACACAGGGCATGAGATGTAAGCAATTCCAAATAAACACCAGCATCTATAACTAGCGGGGTAGAACATATTTGTCTGTCTTTAAGTGGTCTTTCCTTTAACTGTGTTTTCTTGGGAATTTGAATAGCATAAGAATGGTCTTCCCAATTCAGAAGAATCCAGCAGAACATAGATTTTTCTTGACTGCATTCATGTGGTAGAGGTTCAGATGGCATTCAGTTCTGTTCTCAATTCCCCGCAAGGGAATACCACAGGAAATCTATTGATATGTTTTAGTATTCCTATTTTAATATAAAATACTTTAATACATGTTTGGATATTTATCCCAATGGAAAATATAATCTTTCTCATTCTCCTTTTTGTAATATTTGAAATGAAAAAGACAGTCTTAAGGAAAATGATCTCGAAAGCTTTGTTCCTACAAAAGACATAGAACCACATCTTTATGGGAAGAGTTCACCTCAGCCTCTGGTATGGCAGAGACCTGTAACAATACAAGGGGATGGATTCATGCAAGAAGGTAAAGTGAAGAGAGTCCCTTTCTAGTTAAACTGAGCAACTTAACCACAGGAAAACTGTCTTTGTATTCAAAAATAAGATTGCTAAAGGAACCATTTAGACATACTGCATGGAAAGAAATCAAAGTAATTACATTAGCATTGGAATAGTGACTCCCTCTCTATGGGCCACTACTGTAACAGATCTCATTGTTTCTAGATCTAAATATTAAAATTCATCAATAATTTTTCCACCTTTGGAAGACCAAGTAAACACTCCTAAATAACATTTTTATAAATTTATTTTGTGTATGGATACTCATACGCCATGGCCTGCAAATGGAGGTCAGAGGACAACTAGTGGGAATTAGTTGTCTCTTTCCAGCAGGTGGGTCTCTGGAACTGAACTTGAGTTGTCAACGTTAGTAGCAAGTGCCATGACCCCCTGACCCATCTTGCTGACTAACAGAAACCTCTGAAAATGTGTCTATTGTGTAGTCCTTTATGGATATTAAACTCATATATTATTGTGGAGAGGTTTCTACGTACCACCTAAATCAATTATAGTCAATCGAGATTCCTTTGTGCATCACTGGAGAAAAAGCAGAAACCATTGAGTTAAGTGTGATTTATATGAAGAAACAAGTTAAAAAGAAATGTTTCTTTTCCTGATTCTAATTTATCAAATACCACCAGGCAATGAACAAAGAGAAAACTTTCTGGTAGTGTTGTTCTTATATCAGTCAGGGGCAGAGCAGGTGATGGGCCTTTGTTTATCCTAGATTGATGCCTGGCTTAGTCGCCAGAGCTCTTTTAGACCTAGGACTCATAAAAATCAAATCAAATCAAATCCAGGCAGCACAATGCAAGAGGAAGACAGAGATCTGTGGGCTACCATGTCACCTACAGACCTGTCATCCTGCACGTGGTACAGGTGGGTCTCTGATTGCCACCATGTCATGCAGACAGAAGATGTCACCCAGGGGCCCACCAGCCACATGGCCAGCCTGCAGCAGGAGCCACTACAACGTGTGAGTTAGTGTGTGGTGGTCAGATGGAAGTGAAAGAGAAGTGTAACAGCTGAGTATTATGAAGAGAGATGGAACTGGAGACTCGAGGCTGAAGAAAAGCAGTCTTTTGTGAGTGGCCAGCACTGCCACGTGGGGCTATGGTTTGTCTCAGCCTGAGTGGCTGCTGAAAGGCATGTCTGGGTGCCTCAGTGGCAGGGGTCAGTGATGAAGTCCATGGCTCATATTACCACTAGAGAACATGGGGAAGTCCCTAGTTGTGGCAGCCACTGAAGACCATATGGATGTCAGGGGCTGTGCAGAATTGGCCCCACCCTCTCACTGGTTTTAGCGCTTGGGAGAGAATGCCCTGCACCTCGCCTGGGCAATACAGTAGAGTTGGCTCCGATGGTGAAGGTACAAGTGAGCCAGCCCTGATGATATGAGAGTGCAGAGAGCTGGCCCAGCCGCTACAGGCTGCAGTACTTGTAAAGGTGAGCCCTGAACCTTGACAAAGCAGTACAGTAGAGCTGGCTCTAGAGGCATGGGTGCAGGGGAGCTGGGCTTAGAGCATGAGAATGGGAGAGATGGCCCTGCCTCCTGAAGATGTTGGCATTGGTTGACCTAGCTGAAGCTGTGCTGGAGAGTTTGCCCTAGTGGTACAGGTAAAGGAGAGTCTGATGGCTGACTACCCTGGGCCAAATTCAGGGTTCTGAGTTGGCCCACCCCCAAATCTATATCATCTGCAACAAGATAACCAAGAGAAGTCCCAGGGAGGATCCAATATTGATAGTTTCAGGCTGGGAGATGAGCGAGACTGAGGTGCATGATGTAAAACTCACAAAGATGGACTAGGGTCAGATGGAAGGGGAGGAGGACCTCCCCTATCATTGACAGGGAGGAGGGGTACAGGAGAAGAAGAGGGAGGGAGGGTGAGGTTGGGAGTTGTTGGGGAAGGGGGGCTACAGCTGGGATACAACTTGAATAAACTGTAATTAATAAAAAATTCTTGATGAAAAAATAAAAATAAATATAAATTTTTAAAAAGCTCACAACGAACCAATAAAAAGTTTTTAAAAATTCATCAAATAATAAAGAAAAAATAGACCCCTACTTCCACTCTGTAGAAAAATACTATCTTATGGGGGAAATACTCTCATTCTATGAAATGGCCCCAAGAGACAGCTGGTGTATTCAAAATATAGCAACCACTCCAGAGAGCAATGAATACAAATACATACAACAAAATCTGTCACTCAGTGACTAATATTCATGTAGCATCAACAGAGAAATCAGCTTTATAATTCAAGCAGAAAATCTATTTCCTCAGTGTGTTTCTGATAACACATCCACTATAAACAAATTATAAAAAGCCTAATTGCAGAGGTCAGTGGGGAATTCTGCTAGTATCCCCTTTGTTCAATTAAACAATACAATTCACAGATAGAACAGAGAATATAGCTTCAATTTCCAACAGTGTTGCTGGTCATGTCTGTGCCGGGACCGCTCTTTTCCCTGATGTTTGTGAGACTATCTGCATTAGCAATAAACAAATTATCAAGACACAAAGGCATTGCACTTTTTATCTTTTGCTAGCATAAGCCAAAGAAAATGTCTAATCTAAGATGAGGTATTCAGCTGAATGGCAAAAAAAAAAAAAAATGCTTTCATGATTGCTTTTATTATAAGCATTGGCTTTCCATATTGGTCACGGCACTGAGGAATTCAAGCTATAGAGAATCCCATTACACATAATTTCTCTGAATTAGCATGAACCAATTTGATATTGGGTTTGGAGAATCATTATCAAATGTGTTATTTAACTCATAACAAACTATTTGCTATTTAACTCATAGCAAAACCATATCAATCATTAGAGCAAATTTTCCACTTTAAATTTATTAAATGAAAAAAATCACAGTATAGTGTATTTGTTTTAGTCATGACCATAATTTGATGAGTAAATAAGAACAGATAAAAATTCTTACTTTATTTCATGCTAATATGACAAACTTTTTGAAAGAATGCCAAATAAATTTCAAATACCCACTATCATTTCTTATTCTCCACCCACAAATTGTTCTACCAGCATTTCAGATGAATTACAGATTCCTGGTTGAAATACAGCATTCAAATGAAAGGGGAATTTCTGCTTCCTTTTACCAATGTGACAATTTTAATGTAGCAGTGTTATCGTTGAGGTGTAAACCTTGGTGCCATGGTCTTCTATAAACATTAAACTGAATTTATAGCCCCTTCAATCGTGTAGAGCCTGGTTGGTTGTTTAACATGTTTGTATGTGATTTAGTATGTACATACATGTGTTTGTGTGTATGTCTTTGGTAGCAGAAAAGCTGCCCCTTATTGTTTGTGATTCTCATAGATTCCTCAGAGTTCTTTGGAGAGGGAATGCTACAAAAAGAACAAATACAGAAGTGGGGCAGCAGAGAACCCAGGTAAGGTAGCCATCTGGCCCTTTCACCGTCTAGGTTGCTCTGTCTCTAGCCTTTCTTATAACACAAAGGGCAGTCCTGATTTCATTTTCAGGTCTTCACACACATGGGACACAGCCATTTAGGGAAGACAGAGAGAATCTGAGTCTAACTGGAGTAGATGTTTTTTTAAGAATTATAAATAATAAAAAGTTAGTGTGCTGTATTAATGATTATAAAAGAGGTCTTTGGTGTGTAGAGTAAACTAGATTCCTAACAGAAAAGCCACATGCAGAATGTAAGAGCTAATATATACCAGTGACATTATGGTGACTTAAAATGACTTTCTCATTCACATACATAGAAAACCTAAGTAACAAAAAAAATACTGAACAATATAATAAGAAAATTAAAACAATACCCTAAGATTGTAATGACACATGCTTTTAATCCCAGCACACAGGAGGCAAAGGTGGGCAGATCTCGGTGGATAGAGGCCAACCTGTCCTATTATTTAAAAGTATTTATGTTTGCTTGATGAATATTTTGCCTGCCGTGTATCGTGACTGTGTACCGTGTGCTTGCCTGGTGCCTGTGGAGAACAGAAGGCACTGAACCACCCTGAACTGGAGTTGCAGACAATTGGGAGCTGCTGTATAGACCCTGGGAACCAATCCTAGGTCCTCTGCAAAAACTTCAAGTGCTCTTAATGGTTGAGTCATCCTTCCTGCCCCAAGCTCTAGTATTTTGACTACAATTTCCATGTCAATATAAACGTCTTGGCCATGTCTGGTCAAAGACATTCTAGAGCTGTGTCTCGCTAATGCTTTGTAAATAGAATGTTCAGTTTAGGTAAGATAGTAGCTAGCCCACTCAGAAACATCTGAATGGTCTTAGGCAAACCTATCCATCTCCTCAAATCTGGGTCTTATCACTTGTGAAAGAAACAGGCTGCTTGGCTGGCTTCCTGTATTGAAGATTGACAAAAAATAAATAAAATGTAGGATTATTTCCTTTGAAATTATTAAATAGGTCCAAAATTCTAATTTCTCTCTTCTAAAAAGAAACCTAAAATGTTCAGTTTCAAATGAAAAGGAGCTTCTGCCTAAATTCTTCCTGTATTTTCATCACTTGGACAGTTTGCAAATCATCACAACTCATCAAACAAGCCAAAAAAAGTAGAATAACACGTTAAGAGTTTCACGCCCTCTGCTGTGTGTAGTTGCTGTACAGCTTCAGCTTCAGCCAGTGGCTGACATTACACTGACACATACCTGTCTACCCATATTGCCATTTTTCAAGAGAAGAAAGATTACTGTTTTAATATGAACTCTGAACTGTTTCCATCATGTCTTGTGCCACTTATGTTCTCTGCAAGTGATTTTGTTTGTTCAGCTACAAAATCACTAATGAACACTGAGATCCTCATTCTGCTGTTTCCAAGTATTCTCTGAGAGCCTAGCATAAAGCTATCAAGAGATGCTCTTAACTAACTGATGGATATCTAGACTGCGCTGTGATTTTCAGGGCCAATCAGAGTGCTCTCGACAGAGGTAATACAAAACCTTAGATTCAAAAGAATACATGTGGATCTAAAGACAGAGTGGGTCTCTGGTAGATAGCAGGTGAATTAGTAATAATACGACACAGTATTTTTAGCGGAACATTTGTGTCAAAATTCAGAGAACAATTATTAGTCTTACTGCAAATGTAGACACATGTTAATGGAGTGTGTAAACACATACAAGTGCAGAAATTATTTAGAACTATTTCACTACAAATGCCTTATTCATACTTTTTGGGGAAAAGTGCAATATTAAACATTCAGTAAGAAATTTAAAGTTGTATATTTTTTTGGAGAAAAGAAAGATTTAGGTAAATTCTCTTTCCCTAAAGATAGCCTTACGGTGGCCGTTGATGTGAAAAAAAAAAAAAAAAAAACAAACAAACAAACATAAAAAAAAACCCAAACTGAATTACTCAAAGTTACACTGTCTTAAGAGAAGAAGTTATAGCTGCTTCGACTTTTAACAGCTTTGCAAGCCAATATTTTAAAAATTGAATGAATAAAATTAGTTTTAATACAAAAGTTTACATAATGCAATAGATCCAAAACATATCCCCAAACTAGCATTAAGGCCAATAGGTAAGATATTCCACATTTTTATTTTTTGAGGCCCAATTAGCATTTTATATTTCCATCATTTCTCCCCATAAACAGTCATGCTTAAAATACCCTAAAGCTCTCAGTACTGCACAGATGTGTCTACAGTTTCTTGTGCATACTTAATAAAATCTAATACTAACAATGTTATCTCCATGAATGAATACTGGCTAGAGTTTCTGGGAAAATGCTAGTTCAACGGATTTAAAGTAACTCAAAACTGGCTTTT